GCCCGCGCGCCCCCCGGCCTGCCTGCCCGCGAGGCCCCCGCGGCGTGGCGCAGGCCTAATGGCCCCTCTCCCCAGATCCCGTCTGCTGCGCAGACGGGGCGGGGAGAGATTCTGCCTGCATCACAGCCAACGGCACGCAGCCGCGGTGAGGACCATTGGCCAGAGAGCCAGCGGGATGGGCTCCGAGCTGGCCAGTGGGTGACCAGGCTGCACCCCTGACCTCACCCCGTCGGGTGGCTGCTGTCCACTGCCTGAGAGTCAAGGCGCGTCAGGACACTGCCCCCCCCCCCAGACGGTGAAGGGCGGGCACCGCCAGAGAAAATGAAGGACGGCCCCAGCTGTGCCGGCCTTGGGTGAGCCCACCGACCCTGGCTGTTGGTGTGAGCTGGGTACAGCACTTTGTCTTTCTGGTCCTCCATTCCAACTCCGTAAGGATTCCCTTAGAGTTGGAACCGTGGCTCAAGCTCAGAATCCGTCACTGCTCCCCAAAATAAAATGATATGGTTCGTTTTCAGTACGGGTCAGTATTTTGTCAGTATTTGGGCAAGCCATTGCTCCTTTTCAATTTCCTTGATTGATCTCTGCCTCCAGTTGACCACTCTACTTAACTCCCCCCCCCCCCATACTTGGGATTTGAACACAGGGCCTCAGTCTTGCTAGAGCCACGCATGCCTTTGGTCCAAATAATTTTATTGGTTCCTTTAACACAAAATACTTACCTTTCTTACACAAATCAATCATAGCTATAACTAAACACAGATTCAAGTAGTTCAAGAGTTTAAAAGATGGCAAGCTACACAAGGGAAGGATACAGGCTGTGTACCCCTAATACCTAGCACAAGTGGGCACTCCATAAATACTTGTCATTAACAGATTTACCTCAAGAATTCCAGAGCCGGGCAACCCCCTCTTCACAATGGACTTTTAACCTACTTTTCTACAGAAAAGGTCACGACTCCCAGACTTCTAGGCTTCCCTCAACCAATATGAAAACAAGTTTCACATTATGGACAAATGTCCCCAGTTGGTGGGATCAGCAGGGCTAAATGTATGCAGAATCGAACTTTCCTAGTTACCATGCCAATGTATCACACATGTTCTGCCTTGCAGCAATGTCAAGCTTCAGTCACATCCCCTTTTATTAGGAACAGGACTGTATTGGTTAAGGGTACTAGTTGTCATAACAATGGAAGACTCCATAGATACCAACACATACACCATCACCATCATCACCCTCACCATGTTGCTTCTCTCTCCCCAGACTCTGCTTATTCTGGATTCCAAAAGGCTTATTTTAGGTATCAGATGAGTTAAAAGAAAATGGTGAGCCTATACAAACACATGACTTCCCAACTGCAAAGATTTTAGATCATGATTGAGATAAGTAGAATTTGAACTGGGACCCAGGAACAATTAACATGGAGTTGCGTTACTGAGATTTCTTTTTCTGCCCCCTACTGTGAATATATGTTGACACTATATGCTGGTTTTACTACCTGGTTCACTAGCTTCAATACTTTCCAAGTTGGTGTGATTTGTGGGAGGTTCTACCTCCTTTATAGAGACAGTTTGCCCAGTTAGTCAGCCAGTCTGCCTTCAGGAACTACTTAGCAAGTTCAGTTCTCTATTCAAATCACAGCTTCAATGTTTTCCTCATGTTAACACCAGACACAAGGGTGAACCTAATGTTTAATGCAATAATTCTACAGGAACATTGAATTCACCAGTGTACCAGTCCATGGACTTTAGGAAAACACCTTTTGTATGCCAACACACTTTTGATTCCAGCAACATGTCAGATTGTGCTAGCAGGAACACCTGCAGACACGCAACAATTCCACACAAATTATAAGAAAGCACACAAGAAAAGTAAAACCACCAGGCTTAGACTTGTAATCTTAGCTATTCAGGAGGCTGAGAGTTGAAGATCAAGTTTTGAACTAAGTTTGGGCAGGAAAAGTCTGTGAGACTCCAATGAGCTTCCAAAACAGCTGGAAGTGGGGCTGTGACTCAAGTGGTAGAATGGTAGCTATGAGCAAAAAAGCTTAGAGGGCCCAGGCCCTGAGATCAAGCACCAGCACGTGCGCATGTACACTTATGCAGGCACACAGACAGTAAACCCATTTCTGAGCTTGCAAGGGTATATATCCTCAGGACTGAAAACAAAAAATTCAAGAGGGTGGCTGATTTCTGTCCTGCAGGTTATTGCTGGATGATTGGAGGATAGAACCTTGAACACAAGTATTGGGACTTGGAATTCAAACTCCCACTATGGGCTGGAAACTCCCCTTTCAAACAGGAGACCTTTTGAAATTGTCCTTTGCTCATCTGAAGGAAACAGCACTCTCTTGACCAACTCGTTTGCTCCTGAGTCGTTTTTCCTCAGCTTATCTCAAATTCTATGAAGTGAGCCTTACAGATTAATTTTCAATGAGAAGTCAACAGCTCTCAATCAGGACTCCCAGAGCTGGTGGGTCCCACTGAACTGGGCAGTTTGACCAAGACTGCTTTACATGCATGCTTCTGGTAAATAGGGATTTGCAAAAATCCTTCCCCTATATAATTCTGAAGCTCTTGTCAGTTATCAATTAAGTACGTAAGTAGCCACTCCTCTGTTCTCCCCAGTGTGGCCAAAATAAAGTCCTCCCTTGCATCACCTCAAGTTGTATCTGTTGGAATCTCACTGCTCTGCTCTACGGATTTTCAGGGAACCCTCAAGCCAGGCCTTTAGCCTAGGACTCTGACAACATAAAGGTTCTCCATGAGGACAGTTGCAGAAAAACTCTGTATCAGCCCGATGGGGGTGGAGTTTTGTTCCCTGGGATACTTGAGCCTAAGGTAGGGAGGGGCAAGTTAACTATGGAAATTGAATCCCTAAGTGGTTTGAGACTAAATTGGTCCTCAGTGGGTAAACATCTTCCAGTGAGGGAAGCATTGCAAACAATTGGTCCTTAGTAGAGCAGGCATGGTGGGTGTACATCTGTAATTTCAGAGATCAGGAAGTAGAAATGAGAGCAAAGGTTCAAGGCAGGCCAGCCCAAAAAACTATAAACCCAGGCATCATGGTATGACTGTAATCCCAGATACTCAGGACATATAAGGGGACAACAGTGGTTCCAGGCAAAACACACAAGACCCTATTCTAGGAAGAAACAAAGCGGGTGTGTGTGTGGGGGGGACCAGAAAGGATAACTGGCTCAAGTAGAAAGCCTGCCTGACAAGCACAAGATTCTGGGTTCAATCCCCAGAACAGCAGAAACAACCAAAACAAGACTTTGATTGTGGCCAAGTGCTAAGATTTACAGAGGTAACTATAGAATTGCTCAAAAGATGTTGCTACAATTTGGGTCAAATGAAATGTGTACAATGGAAACACAGCTGGGAGTGGTTTCCTGCTTGTAATCCCAGCACTTGGGAGGCAGAATATCAAGTTCAAGGCCAGGCAGGGCTAGTGAAACCTGACTTAAAAACAGACTGCTCTAGGTTTATCAATTTACAGGAAATACAGAGAATGGAACCTTTTTAATTGTACTACATGTACCAGACAAGCCTCCACCAACTGAACTAGATCTCTTGCCCTACCTTATTTTAGAAAGTAAAACTAAATTTAAACTAAGTGTTCATACTAGCATTGACCATCATGTATCTGAACTGGAATCCACCACAGAAACTAAACCTGGGTAAGTTCTCTGAAAGCAAGAATAAGTAATGAGATAGTATTGAAGTATTAATTGAAATGTTAAGAGTACCCCTATGTCCAAGACTAGGGAAATTTGTTTAAAGACTTACTAGTTCACCAGAGAGAAACAATTGTACTGTAAACATGTTTTGACTACTACATACCAAAAAGGGCAAACCAAATTAATGAAATGATAGTACACAGAACCCTTCATATATCATTTATTATATTGTACTTTATACACTGCACTCATCTTCATGTCCCATGCTGATTCTCTATTTCAGTGATGACAATGAAGCCTAAGAGTTGATGACATGCCCAAGATAAACCATCTGCCAAGTCCATCCCAAGTTTATTTCTAAACCTAGATCATTTCCTGATGTTTGGCAGGTTGGCCAATGCCAACTCCCAAGGCAAATAACCATTTGCCAAGAACTTGTTGCAAAGTGGAAATACACAATAAATTCAAACAAGCCTTGCCCTCAGTAAGCATTTTATTGAGATAAAGCATAAAATAGGTTAACACAAAGTGGAAAAAATATCCAAGATGAAAGGCAGTAACACAGGAGTGGGAACATAAATGCTGAAGGAATGGGTAGGACTCAAACTGGCCATAAAGGCACTGTGGTATAATCCAGAACACTATCAAGTACAGGATGGGGGCGTGGGACATTCCTTACTTCTCTTGTGCTATCAGCCACTGATCTCTGTGGCATGTTGCTGATTCTCCAAAATCTGCTCACTAATTAGAGCAAGGAACTAGGTATTTCAAATCAGTCAACTCCACGTTCTCAAGTAGGCCAATGTTTAAGTACGGTGGTTTGTACATCCAATGACTTAGGTCTACACATGGGGAAATTGGCCCCTGCCATTACTAGAAAAAAATTGTACCACCCACTTACTGGGGTGGCTAACAATGTAGTCAAATGTCTCTTGCCATGTAATGTCACATTAACAACAGAAAGCCCAGCTGAAGATGTTGCATACTTTTAGATAGCCAAATTTCACTGTAATATTGCCCTCTCCCCCTTAAAAGGCTGTGGCTCAGTTTTTCCGTTCTTTCCCTGAAAATAAAAGAAGTTTGTCAAAGCCAATTCTTAAGAGCCATTATTTCTGTTCTTTGGACAGGCAAAATAGTGAAATACAATTAGACAGTTCTCTTCTCTTAAACTCACTTAAGTTATCCAAGGAAAGATAACAGGAGCAGTAGAGCAACCTATGGGACAGTAATATTCCTAAGGTGAGGCCTTTAGGATTTTTTCCTTTCTTGCAGGTAGGTAGCTGAAGGATTACTTATAGTTTTTCTTCCTTACCAAGTATTCTTAGTTACTCTGTGACTGGTATCTACCTAGATACCTGACTCAGTATTTTTTTCACTAAGCCTCATTCTATTATATGCCCTTTAGTTAAAATTATACAACATCAATCCTAGATCATCATCATGCCTTATCACAATTCAACTTACATACTGGCAGTTCCAAGGAAGATATTAAACCTGAGCCAATCCATCTACATCTTGATTTCTGACTAGGATTAAATTTTTTTTTGGGGGGGTTGTAGGTACTGGGACTTGAACTCATGTTCTTACTTGGCTTTTTTGCTCAGCACTGGTGCTCTACCACATGGGAGTCACACCTCTACTTCCAACAATTATTTTTTAGATGAAGTTGTGAAAAAAGGGACATCATGTAACTCATTTCTTTAACAACTGTCTCAACTATTTAGAGGCTTATGGCTATATGAACTAATTGCTAACTTCTCATTCCTACAAATTTGCCATGTAATTTGGTTTACATATTAATTTCATTCATATAATACAAAAAGTCTGGTGTATTCCTTCCAGTGTTTTTCAAATTGACCACACAAAAGTGTAACATTTATAAGGATAATCCAATCATCCATCACAAAAAAAAAAAAAAAACCCACTAACCAAAGGGGACAAATTTTTAGGAAGATTTGACTTTACCAGCAAATGCCTACACCAAATGGTCTTTCTTAAGTGCCTGTTAAGAATAATGACCTTTCAGGATGTGCTTTTCTATTTTGAACAACATTAAATTTCTAATCAAAGGCTACTTCCATTTTATATAAGGACCAAACTATACTGAGAATTCTAACCACTTCCAGAACATGGATTAACTAGCTAAACAAAACCCCAAGCACTAGCTTTTAAGTTATATTTAGGCAAAAACTGTGTAACAGAGCAACTACAAAATACCTTTTATTTTTAACTCAACTTGTCAAAGGGGCAGATTAAAGACTTTGGCAAATTTGATTAACAGCACAATGTTATCCAAACTGAGTAATTTATTGCTGGTCTGAGGCTTGCCTTGCTTTACACTGAAATAGAATTTATACTGTCTCCACAAACAGCAGATGTTAATAATGTGTAAAGGGATTTAACAGTGAACCTATTCAATAAGGCAATCATCTTGGTAGCAAACTTTTATTTAAATCTTACATAACTCAAGCTTTATAAAAAGCCAACATAATTGAAAATTGGGTTCTCCCTCTAAAGCCTGAAGTATCCAAAGCTGGAAACAGTTAATTTAAAAAATAAGCAAACAAATAAAACAGTAACTCCTGCAGCAGATCCTGCTGAAATACTTAAAAAAAATCTAAGTGAGCTTCATCTTTACAAAAGTTATTTTAGCTCAAAAGCTATAAAATCAAAGTTATCTCTTAATTCTACAAAGGGAGAGGGTCTGTGACTTCATGCCATCTTTTTAGAACCTCATCTTTTTTTTATATATCAAATTTGGCCACAAATCAAATTCTGTGCCCCTGTTTTCAGGAGAGCCTCTTGCAGAAGAGGCCAAGTATAAACATGGAAGAGTAACTGCCTAAGCAAGTAGGAAAGTGTTCCATAATAGTGTGCAAAGAACTTAAGAGTTCTAGGTTAATCTCTGGAACTTGATCTAGACCTCGATCTTGAACGAGATCTAGACCGGGATCTTGAAGTAGCTCTTTTTGGAGGAGGGGACACGGAACGGGCTTTTGAGGGTGCAACAGGTAGGGGTGAATGGGAACGAGACTGGCTCCTTGATCTGGACTTTGACTTAATATCACCTTTTCCATTTTCTTTGGGGGACCGAGATCGAGAGCGAGATCTGCTTCGGGATTTCTCATACTCATCCTTAGATCTGCTTCGGGAGTGTGAGTGAGAGCCCCGATCGGACTTGGGCTTAGATTTGCTCTTTGATCTCGACTTCCTGCCTTTTGATCGAGACCGTGATCGACCTTTGCTCCGAGACCTGGATCTGGACAAGAAAAGCCAGACTTCTTTTAGTATTTGGTCAGCACATACATATCCTCCATGAACAAGTACAACTGTATTCAGGAGAAAAAAAAAAAAAAGAAGTCCCACCACATTATTTACCGGGAGCGACTTTTTGAGATACTCCGAGATCTACTGCGGCTGCTTCTCCGACTCCTACTTCGTGACCTTCTTCTAGAACGTGATCTATAGAAGAAACACAATGAAATCTTAATCTCCAGAACACGTTCATGCTATTTACCAAACGACCCAAGTCAAGAATATTTGCTTACTACCAAGTCCACTAACCACAACAGCTGTAAAAGACTGTCACCCCCTGCACCCTGAAAAAAAAACCCAAACAAACAAAACTAAGAGTGGCAGGGCACTGGTGCTCACGCCTGTAATCCTAGCTACTTAGGAGGCTGAGACCTGAGGATCATGGTTGGAAGCCAGCCCAGCAGGAAAATCTTTCTCTAAGAAACTACTCAGAACAAAGCAAGAAGCAACACTGTGGCTCAAGGGGCAGAGTGCTAGCATAGAGAGGCTCAGGGACAGCACCCAGACCCTGAGTTCAAAGGGGAGTGTAGGGGGTAGGTGATCTCCAGGAGAATTTAGTAACGAAAAGTATCCTCCTCTGGCCAGTATTTTAACTTACCTGGATCTGCTTCCAGAATAAGACCGCCTATGGCTTGTTCGTGGCTTATCTTCAATAAGCCTAATATTTCTGCCATTTATTTCTGTACCATCCAGTTTATCCAATGCTCGCTTCATGTCTGAGTAGGAGCGAAATTCAATTACACCCTCATTTGTGCGTTCTTTGTGAGCATCTGCATATGTTACTTCCCCTGCTTGCCGCATGAAATCCTAAAACATTAAGACCAGTCAGATTCAGAATCCATCTCACCTTTTAAACATTAGACACACCATGAAGAGACCAAATCTCAGGACATACCTTTAAATCTTGCCAACTACAACGACTAGAAAGATTTTCTACAATAAGTCTGTATTCTGTACGAACAGGTGGTCCATATTTGTCTCTGCCAGAGGTTCTCCGACTGCTGTATCCACCTCCACCACCTTTATCACACGAAGGTAACAATTAGATGCTTTGTAATGACAGGGGTGAGTGTTTGAAAGTTAGTACAAACATATCAACTTTTATTTACTGGAGTAGGACTTTGCTATTATACTGCTAAACCTTTGATACAATTGTGATTTGCCACATATTAAATTAAGGGCAAGTCAAATAGACTAAATGCAACTAGACCTCTCCTACAATCTGTTAGAGAGTGACTGCTCCTTTATTCAATTTACCTCGCTAAGTTTTATTTTACAGAACATTGTAAAATATAAAACTTAACTGATTACATGCATTTCTACATTTTACAAAAATGTTTACTAGTTACACTAAGTACTTACATCACAGTGTGAGGTTTTTGGTGGTGGTTTGGCCACAAAACACGCAAGGTAACAGTCACCTAGTTCAGATTAACCAGTTTTGTCTAACCCTTGGAATCCTCACCATCACCCTGCGTCTAATGGCAAAAGGCTGCTGTCGTCATGGCTTCCGGTAAGGTCAGCCAAAGGGTCATAGGGCAAGGGTCACACAATGTATGGAAAAGCCAAGGCCAATCAGGAAAGGCAGTCATCTTAGCCTCAGTGGACACAGCCTCAGCCCCATTGGTCACTTTCAAATTGAAACATCAAGGACTTGTTAAAAAGTTTGAATTCAACATGCAACAATTTCAACATCAAACATTTAACATAACCAAAATCCCCCCAACCTCCTCCCAATAACATGCCCCGACTAGTTCAAATACAGCATGAAGCTTATTTAGGTTTACTTTGTGGTGTGAGAACCACGTTACTCTAAAATAGCATTTTTCTTCCTCCTCCCCCAACCCAGTGACTCCTAACACCTGCACTTGAAACCCCGCCCCCTGCCCCGCCCCCGCCCCACCTCCTCCCTATCCCGCCCCCAAACTTCCCCATTCCTAGCTAAAGCACTGACAGGTAAGCAAGGAGGAGCAGAGCAAATATCAAAGCCATCACTTGCTTCCGACAAGGGCAGAACCCTTGACAGTGCCAACCGGGGCCTAGCAAGAGCCACCCCCTCCCAAACTTAGCCCCAATCAAACAACCACCACACCCAATCCCCGCGCTCCGGTGTCCCAAGGCTGCCCCGGGCAGACGTGAAGGCGGCGGGGCCCGGACACACCGGGTCAAACGATCCCCGGCCCCCGCACCTGCCCGGGCTGGGAGGCCCCACCCCGCCCGCCCGCGAGCCTGCGCCCGCCCCCCAGGTCCCAAAGACGCGGAGCGCGCGGGGTCGGGACTCACTGCGGCTTCCGTAGCTGTAGCCGTCGCGATCCCGGCGAGGGCCTCGGGCATGCTCCACGATCACGCGCTCCCCGCACAGCTCCTTGCCGTTCAGCTCGTAAACGGCATCGTCGGCGTCTCGGGAGTCCTCGAACTCCACGAAGCCGTACCTGGGGGCGGAGCGCGGCCGGGCACCGACGAGGACGTCGTTAGCCGGCGCCGCGCGCGTGCGCGCCCCCGCCACCCCCGCGCGCTCCCGCGGCGCCGCGCCGCCCGCCATCTTGGAGGCCCTGCCACGCGGCGCCGCGGCCTTGTCCACCTTTCCTCTCCGACAGCCCCCTCCGCCGCCAGGCCGAGGACGCAGGGCGCGGACGTCCCGGCGCGACTCACCCATTTTTGAGATCTACTTCGAGGAGGCGGCCGTAGCCGCTGAAAAAACGCTGGATGTCCTTCTCCCGGACGTTATAACTCAGGCGTCCTATGTAGACGCGCGGCATGTCCGTGGTGGGCGAGGTCCCGAAGGCTAGCTGTCGGACGGCAGACCGCAAGGCAGTAAGCCGCGGTGCGAGTGCGGGGACTGAGAGCCCGAACACGCGCCGCACACCGCACGGGCGGCCGAGTCCAGCCACACAATGGTGCGCGCGCGCGCCAAGGCTACGCTATAAGCGCGACCAGGGGGCGGGGCCGTGCGCGTGACGCAAGCGCGCGGCACGTACTCTCCCGCGTCGCCGCCGAGGTTGGGAGCGACTTTCGAGTTCTCCGCGGGTCGTGTCGGTGGAGCGTGGTGTTTTGGTTTTGTTTTTGTTCTTGTTTTTGTGCTCCCAGGTATTTTTTTCTTGTATCCCTCCGCATCCACCTGTGTAAACATAATAGCTCGTCCAGCCGGCTAGGTATCCTCCGATTTGTGTGTGTTTGAACTGGAGTCTCCCAGGCTGGAGGCTGGTAGAGAATTCTCGCTTTTCATTGGTTCTTGACGTTGTGCTCATTGGCCAGCGTGATCTCTGAGAGGTCCGTCAAAACGAGGCTGCGCCATCTCTCTTCTGATTGGTTCCCGTTAACGTGCTCTCGTACCCAGCGCATTAGCGGGTTTCGGAGAATCCAAGAGGTCTGTGCCTAGCTGCTGCTGCTGCTGCTTGCGGCGGCTTGCGGCGGCTGCTGCTGGTTGTCCGGCCGGGCACGTGTTGAAAGCGCCGAGCTCAACTTGCTCCAGGCCCTGGGGTCGCCATCCCAGCCTCCATGCATGCTCCCCTCCTCTCTACTGTGGCAGTTGGTAGGTTGGAGCGTACTAGGCAATCCCGGGTTCTCTATAGTTGCTCACAATGGGACAATAAATCCCCAACGTTCCCAGCCCCGAAGGCACACAGGTGTCCAACAAAGAGGAGCGAGACCTAACGTCCCTCCTTAGAGCACCGAACTATTTTGATCTAGAACCCTTGGTACTAAGTACAAACAAACAAAACCTCCCAAACACCTCACACACCGAAGGAGTAAATTTAAATGGATAACAGAAGTAGGAGAGCCAAGAACCATACCCCAAAGAAGCCAGGAAAGTTACTGGAGACGGAAGAGATGTGGCGGGGATTGTGTCACAGCTGAAGAAAAGGCTATCGCTGAGCCAGTGCAATACTGACATCTAGTGGATGGAGGTCAGCTTTAACCTTGGATTTAAAAAAAATAGACTTAAAAGTTAGTTTAAAGGATGTTTGTTCACAGCCTGACAGCGATGCCTCATTTCTATAATCCTAACTACTCAGAGGAGGCTGGGATCTGAGTATCACAGTTTGAAGCCAGCCCCAGCAGGAAAGTCCATGTGACTCTTATCCCCTATTAACCAGCAAGAAGCCAGAAGTGGAGCTGCGGCTCAAGTGTTAGAATGTCAACCTTGAGCATAAAAGCTGAGGGACAGCACTCAGGCCCGGAATTTAAGTCCTAGTAACAGCCCCAAGAAAGAAAAATGTTCATGGAATGTAGTTAGGGGAAAGGAGTATCCAATAATACTTTTTCTCTCATTAAATTGCCAGTGTTTAGAATTTTTGTTAAAACGCTATTTGCACGAAGTGAGCCAGAAGTGGCTCTTGTATAGAATTGGTCTGAGCATACCTTTCCCAAAGGAAATGGGCAGTACTTATTAAAAGGGGCTTGTGGAAAGTGGGACCATTGATGCTTTTCTATTAATTATTATTTGCCCAAAGGCAAAAATACAGCAGACTTCTTTTCCTCTCCTCTGTGGCCAATGGCTTCACAAAACACCAGAGAGCTGTTGCAATGGAAAGCCGTATCAGATGTTACCATGTTGATGTGTATGGGGTGGACCATTCATATTCTGTGGAATCTCACTGATTATCTGTTTCAGTTGATTACTTGGAAAGAACCACAAATACAACTGGTGGAACAGAATCCCTTTCCCTCCCCCCTCCTTTCTCCCTCCCTCCCCTCTCTTCCCCCTTCCTCCCCCCTCCCATCCCCTCCAATCCTGCATACCTAGACAGAGTAAGAAAGATCTTCTGTCACCAGCCTCACCAACTGATTAGGCAGGCACCATCCAGCAGCTGAAAGTCTGGGTAGGGAAAAACAAAAACAAGCAGAGCAAAGGTGAATTTGCTGTTTCCCCTGGAGCTGAGGCAACTGTCTTTTCCTGCTCCTGGACATCAGGAGTCTTGTTTCTGTGATCTGTACTCTAGGAGTTGTACCAAAAATTCTCCTCAGGTTCTTAGGTCATTGGCCTCAGACAAGAGTTTCACCATCAGTTTTCTTTCTTTTTCTTTCCTTCTCCCCTCCCTCCCTCCCTCCCTTCCTTCCTTCCTTCCTTCCTTCTTTCTTCCAACTTCCTTTTTTGCTGGTCCAGGGGGTTGAACTCAAGGCCTAGGTGCTGTCCTTAAGTTTCTTCTCTCAAGGCTAATGCTCTATCAGTTGAGACACAGCTTCACTTCCAGGGTTTTTTGTTTTGTTTTGTAGTTTATTGGAGATAAGAGTCTCATGGACTTTTCTACCCCAGCTGGCTTTGAACTGTGATCCTCAGATTTCAGCCTCCTGAGTAGGTAGGAATTCAGGGGTGAGCCACTGGTAGCTGACAATTTTCCTAGTTTTTTGAAAAAAGTCTTCAAACTTGGATTCAGAGACTGTACTGACTTCCTTTTTGTCTAGATTCCAAACAGCCTACCATGGGACTTCCTAGTCTCCATAACACCAGTTCTCCTGGGGAATCCATCTGTCCATCCATCAATCCATTTGCTCATCTATCCATCCATCCATCCATCCATCCATCCATCTGCTGTTGATTCTCATCTCTCTCAAATACTATAGCAGCTCAAGTGTATATTTATGGAATGAAGTGAATGCAGCAGAGGTTGCTCCAGAAAGACAATGGAGCATTGGAAACTGTCCACATCAGAGGAATTATCACAAATCAGAATCAAAAGAACATCTGAAAGCCAGGTATTAGTGTGCTCACAACTGTGTAATCCTAATTACTGATGATCACAGTTCAAAGTCAGCCAACGCAGGAAAGTCCAGGAGACTTCTGGCTAAAAACTGGAAGTGGAACTGTGGGTCAAGTGATAGAGCACCCATGTTGAGTGAAAAAAGCTAAGGGACAGCACCCAGGCCCTGAGTTTAAGCCCCAAGGCTGGCATACAAAATTTTCACAAATATTTCTTTCTTTTTTTTGGGGGGGGTCTGGTCGTGGGGCCTGAACTCTGGGCCAGGGTGTTGTCCCTCAGCTCTTCAGCTCAAGGCTAGCACTCTACCACTTGAGCCACAGCACCACTTCCAGGTTTTTTCTTTTTGCTTATGTGGTGCTGAGGAATCGAACCCAGGGCCTCAAGCATGCAAGGCAAACACTCTACCACTGAACCACCTTCCCAGCCCTCACAAATATTTCTTGACTGCTACTATGTGCCCATGACTGCTCTCTGCAGCTCAACACTGAAGGCATATGAACCAGCAAACTACAGCCCCAAACAAATCTAGTCCTCCATTTGTTTTGTGAATAAAATCTTATTTGAGCCAGGCATTGGTGGCGTGTGCCTGTAATCCTAGCTACTCAGGAGACTGAGATATGAGGATTGCAGTACAAAGCCAACTCTGGACAGGAAAATTTGTGAGACTTATTTCCAATTAACACCAGAAAACTGGAAGTGAGGCTGTGGCTCAAAAGTGGTAAAGCACTAGCCTTGATTGAAAAAGCTCAGGGACAGTGCCTAGGCCCAGAGTTCAAGCTCCAAACCCCCTCCATCCCCCCATTTTTAAAAATTTGAGTGTAGCCACATTCATTTGAATATTGTGTTTGGCTTTCAGTCTATAATAATCTTAAGTAACCATTGTGTTGTATATATAGGGGTAAGGTCTTGCTTGAAAACCCTGAAGAACCTTTTTAAATAATTATACATTTTTTTTGTCAGGTACTGCCTATAATCCTAGCTTCTCAGGAGGCTGAGATCTGAGGATCATGGTTCAAAGCCAGTCCAGACAGGAAAGTCTGTGAGACTCTTTTATCTCCAATTAGCCATCATAAAACGAGAAGTGGAGCTACATCTCAAGTGGTAGAGCCCTTGCCTTGAGCAAAATGCTCAAGGACAGCATCTAGGCCTTGAGTACAAGCCCCTAGAACCTGTACCAATTTTTTTTTGCAAGATTTTTTTTTATTGTGAAAATACCTTACAGAGGGGTTACAATTACATAGGCAAGGTAATGAGTACATTTCTTATCAAGTTTTGTTGCCTTGTTTCCCCTTTCCATCCCTTCCCTTCCCCCCCCCCCACAACAAGGTTGTTAAGTTCATTTTCGACATAACATCTTGTACATCTCATTGGTGCAATGGGTCCACCTGTATCCCTATTTAAACAATTTGTTTTTTCCCTTCCCCTCCACAAATTATACCAACATCAAATACAGTGAAAACAGGGGTTATACCGTGGGGGAGGTACATACAACGCAACAAATATCTTATAAATATGTTAGACACAATAGCAAGAAAGAAAAAAAAAACCATTTGAGTCCTTAACTTGGGGTTCATTTCAGCTTAACATCAACTTATCTGACCATTTCTGCTTGTCTCAGACATATAGTAGTTATTGCAAATAAGGGAAACCATGGGACCTATGTTTCTTTGGGCCTGGCTTAAGAAGGATGGCCAAAAGACACATCAATACTCCACACGATCACTGAGATTTCTCTAGTAAAACACTATAGAAATGATCCCTGAAAGTATAGTTTTTGCACCAATTTTTTTTAAAACTATGTATAAGCTTATTTTTGTAAATAACCATCACCAAAAAAATCTCTATAAACTCCAACCCTTTATTGACAGTCTAATCATAATTGATGATGTGGTTCCTTCTTTTTCTTCATCCTTTGTTTTCCCTCTCCTCAGTGCTGGAGATTGAACTTGAGCTCAAGGCCTCTTGCACAGTAGGCATGCGCTCTACCACTGAAGTCTACCCTTAGCTTTTGGTGACTTTAAACCACAGTTGGGGGTTACATCCCAGTTAGGCACCTCCCACCAACAAGTCCTATTGCTTCACCATCTTCCTCACCCTCTTCCCGTTGGCTTTTTACATGAATGTGCTAAACATATACTCATGTCAGGGCTTTTTCACAAAATGGGTCTCTGTTTCTAGAACTTTCTTTTCCTATGATTTATGGTCAC